ATAGCATAGGAATTTGTGTGTGTTGACATGTAAAAGTATGTTTATGTCTGTATTTGGAAGTAGCCATGTTGTGTGAGTAGGTAAATGTGACTCCGTGTGTGTTTTTGTTCGTTGGGTTTACCATCAAAGGGGGGAAATCAATGGAACGCTTCGCGTCGGCTGACTTTCGTGACGTGGGAATGATCTTCACTATGAATGAGACTCACTATTACTCCACAGTACAGATGAGTGACCACACATCTTTAACGGATGCATATACAATCCACCGCACGGCAGCAGAGCCAATGTTGATGCGCTAGCCCAGAGTTTTCTTGTGGCATAGAGTATTTCCTTACGCTATAAGAGAATTGGAGGAGACTGCAGCCTGCGCACGTCTCCAGGAAGGAGCACTCTGCATCTCCAACGTATCAAGTGTTCGTTGCTGATACTGTCGCAGGTGGCTGGACTCAGCAAGCCCTTACGCCCACTAGGGGCTACAACCCTATGGCTCTATTTTCTAACGGTGGCTGGCTAGCCGAACAACCTCCTCCTGGTGTCAGCTGGGTGGTTCGGGTTTAACCCGTTCCAGCAAATAGTTCGGCGGCAGTGTTCCAGGACGTGGTGGGTTTCGCCTGGCAAGCGTTCTCCCTACAAAAAGCCACAAACGTCTGCTTAACAACACTGTGACGTTTCGGTCGTGACTCGCCACAAAATAAAGCCACTGCCCCATGGATATCCGGATAATTCTATCTAACCCACGGACACCAATCTCCTACTCGCATATTGATGACGATATCAAACATTGAGGATTGGAGCAGCACAACTACAAACACAAAATACACAGCTACATACACATACACACACAATGACATACATACATACCCCCTACACAAACACAAACTGCTATGGCAAACATATCGGATTTTTGCATATTCTTGATCATGCATCGTTATGTCAAAATGATCATGCCTGTAAAGGCGTGCCTCACCTTGTTGAGAATAAAAGATTTATTTACTAAGGCGACAGCCACTGTACTAGGTAACATTGCTGGTAGAGATCACAATGTGGTCCAACTCACCTACGGTATCTACGGCCCACTTTCCTGCATATCCAAGCAACGCGCAACCTGCAGACGCTTCCAAGGAACCAATTTGGAATTTGAAATCTTCCTCTTTATTCACTGCGTCTTTGGATTGGAACGGCTTTTCCTTGATGCTTACGTTGATACAGCCACCTGCGAGCTCTAAAAAAGCTTTACTTACTGTCGTATTGTGGGTACTCTAATGCAAAAGAAAAAGCAAAAACCGGCCAAAAGGCGTGGTTCTCACAAACAAACTGCTTGCCTAACTCAAGCAGTTGCACTCGAAATATAGGCGGACGCACGATTTTTAGCCTATAATACTAATGAATGAACTTCTCGCCCAGTGGAGGAACTACGAGAACAAGATGCGTATGTCACCAGAATGTGCTGCGCGGGGCAAAACGAATAACCTTAAAGCCCTCTCGTAATGACTGCGGTGTCGCAGCGTCTCAGTAACAACCTCCATAAACGCACTATTACGTCCGTATAAGACCATAACATATGATCCTATAACAATACGCGAAGCATTCAGTGAACAGTTTTACCAAGCCTTCACCAATATCGCTTTGGCACTACCAGCTACGCCGCCTAGACAAACTGCCGATGAAGAGGGTACTATAGTCTATGACGTGGGCACTATTAACCGCGTTCTAAAGGCACACAAATTTTCTGTCTACCCCGGCCCAGCCAATTTCCCCTCATCTATGCTTATCTTAGGCGGCCCGGATGTACTTCCTCGCCTCCGCAACCTGTTTATACCCTCCGTGAATGGTAGGACCTTCCTAGCCATGCGGAAGTATGCGGGTGACGTGCCAACACAAAATCGGTTGTCGCCAAAATGTGGATATCTACCGACCTATCTGTCACACGGCTAGAGCATCTAGAGTTATGGAGAGAAAGGTTAGGGAGGGTATGCTCATTTTTCTACTGCAGCCTTACTTATTCCACCAACCCCAAGATGGATACCTACCTTCTCGATCGTGCCAAGTGGGACAGTTCGCTTTCCTGGATGTTGTGACACAGCGTGGACATGCGCCAGCGGCCATACTCCTTGTGAAGACAAAAGCCTTAGATGGTTTTCCTCATGTTAGCCTCTTGACAAAACTTGCCTGCTACGGGGATTTCAGACAAATTGCTCGCTTGGTTCTCCTCGTACACCTATGAACTGTTGGCTAAGTATAGAAACCTTATCATAGTCGGTGTGGGTGCGGGTTCCGTCTGCCCGCAGTAATGCCGGTATACATAGTTTTCCCGTTTTGCCTACATGTAGGCAAAGTACATCCTGGGATTAGCGGCTACCAAGTAAGCCAAACGCTTCTCGTATTGGAGACAAGTAGTCCCGAGCTGTTGCCTATGTTTATTTCCAACTTTTCCATAACTGTCGTTGGAACTGGCAGCTGGAGCTGCTTGGTAGTTCGCCAGTATTTATATCATTACTTGAGTATGAAGGCGGCCGGGAAACATCTCCACTTCGGCTGTGCCCGTGGTCCTCTTTTCCTCACAAGTGAAATTTCTGGAGCAGAACCGTCCTTATGATGTGCTTTGAAGTCATCCTTAGCCGCGCAGGTTCGGCCAGCAAGACCTCACAGTACAGGACTGAAGCCTTAGCTCGCATCGCACACAGTCCACACGCCAAACATTCAGAAATAATGCAACGACGGTATGTTTGTACATTGAACGCGCGCATCGAACGGATATGCAGCCGTGATCGTTGTGCACGTAAGAAACAACAATTATAAATTCATGGGACTTAGCGAAGACCAGAAGTAAAGTAGATGACAAGTGGTTGTCCACATAATTAGTGGTGAAGTCCATGAACTAGTGTAACGACACATGAAGGGTCGGTTCTACAACTTTTGCACCGGAGGTTCCTGAAGACGAAGCGCACGATGCCTCAGCCCAACAGACGTCCGAGAGGTTAAAATCGCTTAAAACTAAATACCTAATTACAGACTGAGTACGAATAAAGCCAATTATCTTCCGTATGTGCTTCCCGGACTCCTGTATTCCACTGCAACAGTAAACTGGGTGGAGGAAGTGCATGCAAAAGCCTAGTGACTATAACATGCAGGTCTACTACACATCTAATTCAGAACTTACATAAAGTACAACGCTTCCACCCAGACGACCAACGGGGCGATCCGTTCTAAGCAATGCGTAGCCATGTAAACTAACTTCATTTGCAGTAAAATCCGGAGAGAAGTATGTAAAGGCAAGTATATCAAGACAAGTTTTGTCAGCAAGTAAACCCAAACCGTGCACGTTGTTCCTTAAGTAAAGCACATTGCTAGGTAACCGTGCGAATTACTGCTACTGGTAAGGCAGTAATTTAGCTCTGGAAGGTTACCACAAAACCCACAAGATAAAGACTATGCTCCGCAGCCACTAGCAAAGGTTTGAGGTCTTACACAGCTTCTTTCATCTGCATACTACCTGCCAGTACGTGATGCTTAACACTGACCTTGCTACACTTATTTTGAAAACAAAGCGCAGTAATGCATTGCAACGTTGCTTTCACAAAGGGTACTCGTGCTGGATCAATATGCTGGCTGCTCGAGTGAGCTGGGGCAGCGTCTGCTTATAAAGAAGAAGAAGTGGACGCACTGTTCATTAACGTCTACAGAGCGATTGACTAGATTCCACATTCTGGTCTTTTCCTTAAGACGCGTCTCTGCGGCAACTCTGGGCACGCGCTTCAGGGGCTATCACCATTTCTCGAGAAATGCGCGTTTGGGTAGACCCTACTCGTTCCTTCCGATAAACTGTTCAGAGCGGCGGCCCACATGGAGCAGTCCTTGGTCCGAAGCTGTTTGCTGTGTATTTTAATAAACGGCCTGAAGTGCCAGGGATGCCTGCCGCAGATGAGTTGAAGTTCCGCGGCACGGCAAGGGACACTGTTGACTCTCAAACTTTGCAACTACATCCTGACGGACGCTAATTGGGATGTTGACTGATTAAAAAATTTATTACATTGTTTACGGTCTTTATTAGAATGCAGTTGCAGTACTGCGTCTAGGCTCATCCTCCTTGCCTGGCTCTTGACAGGATAGCAATGGAGCGGGTCATGAGGAGAGGTAAAAAACTGTCCAAGTGTTGCGGCACCTGGCCTACTCTGACAGGCTGTACAAGCTAATGTTGTCCTCGCTACATTCTTGATGTCATCCCGGCGATTCAGTTCGCGCTTACCATATATTTACGGGGTGGAGCTGTGCAGCACTATTCTAACACCTTCAACCTGCCTGGTAAACTACTCTTCGAGGGCACCCGTTGAAGCTGCACAAATTCAAACATGATCGGGTTCCGACTAAAACTCGGTGGCCACGTAGAATGATAGACTCTTAAAATGCGCTACCTGAGGACGTCGTATTGTGAACATCAGGGACAGGGTTTAAACCTCGCCTTGACACCGACAACTGGCAGCGCCGGACCTTACATTTCCCTCCATAATGTTGCTTTCGGTTGCTTTACAGTTCCATTCCTGCTTAAATACTCTTACTAGATATCTACAAATTATGTATTACACTCTTGATTTATAACAAGAGTACAATTTTACTCATCTTTTTCTTATTGCAGGTGACCGGCGCAACAGGGACCACCAGTACCAAATTAGTCAAGACTACGCGAAATAGTCGCGGCAGTGGTTTTGGAGGGCCAAATTGTCCAGCTGCATACGAAGTATACCTTTAGCGTTTCATTCCCTTCGGTCGAGTACAACCCACGCACACACTGGACACTGCAGCTCTCGGAAACCAAGACCGATTGGAAAATACATGCGCGAATTCATTAATTTTTATGGTTTAAACCTATCGAGACTTCAAAAGTTAATAGAAATTCTAGCCTTAGTAACTAAGGCGCAAGCCACACTTTCCTAAGAGTTAAAACGCTTCACATTTGAAACTGGTTAAGCAAATCTGTTGGTTTTATCCCAATTGACCCGTGGCATTGCTGAAGGACGCAGGCAAAATTGAATGAAGCTGGTAGACTTTCAAGGTCACCAGAATCGTGGATCTGTCTTCTCTGTTTGCTTTCTAAATTCCTTGCTATCTTGCTGCTTTAATCAAGTCCTACATTCATTGTTCGTACTTCTGATCATTTGCATAGAAACGATCAATGTTAATTTGTCATAATGGAGTCCGAATTTAAAAATCCTTGGGAGGATATCCTTTGTGAATTTTCAGCTGATACTTTCAGTAGGCCATTCTTTGATCGATTTTAGCACCCTTAGGTGAGCCCCCAGATGTATTCAATAGTATCAAGCTCAACGGTAGCCTCACCAGATTTTTATGCAACAAATTTCAGATTTTCCATTCCTAAAGAGCAATTTTTCTTTCGTTGACTACCTAGTGAGATGTAACTTATGCCAAATAATACTGCTCCCAGAAACAGTGCATTCGCACTATGGTATGTTTTGTTTACTGCTTAGCTTATCTTTTCAGAAAGTCGGCACCTAAACTCGTCTCGTCATCATGATGTCAGTTGCCTTCCTTATCAAGCTTTCTCTCACTACGATGCACTAGATGCTGCTTCCAAAAAAGATCGGGGTGCAAGTTCCAAGCGCCAAAAAGGCTCGTTCAAACGTGTGAAGCGGGGCTCTCTCACTGTTGATCGCGAATCTACACCTGTTGGAACAGTATCAGAAACTGATTCATTGTCCAGTTTCACTGATGATAGAGTGAAGCGCCTTTCTCGAAACCCGAGCGAGGATGAAAGCGAAAAGTTACGCGAGCCTGTTTTACTTAAACTGGCGAGATCGGAATGTTGTACGACGAAGTTTGATGGATGCAAAATTGCGGCACCTAAGACGGAAGAGGGAAACAATTTCCCTCCCTCCGATAGATCACTGTGGTCCCTGGTTTATAGGGAGGGACATACAACATCGGAAACAGATTGCGAGGTTGCCCCTTCGGTTCAATCCTCGCTTTTGGAACAGTCGGTCAATGGTGATCCCTCTGTCACCGAACCAAGGTCCTCAGTTCTTGCGAATGCGGTGCCACCAGATTTAACGTCGTCCACAGTTTCCTCTTATCTGCCCACCCATTTGCCGTTTCACTTGTCTAGTCCGGATTCAAATGTGTCAGATGATGTAGTTTTCCTTGGGTCTACGACGCAACTACCTGGTGATCAGGCCACTCGCTCGATTTCTAGATCTTCTGTGCAACCTAGCTCCAGCAGTAGATTCGAAACTCCTGTTAACTGTGGTTCTCGTTCAACTCCAAACGCTAACTCGTATAACTCCCTAAAGAATCGCATCCTCCATAGGCGCGCTGGCGATAACGAAAATGAGCACATGCAATCGTCGGGGAGTCGCATTGTTCCACCCTGCTCGCAAGCAAACTTTACTGACTCAGCTTCTATATCCGGATGCCCCTCTGCGCATGACAATGAAGAGAAGGGTGTCGAAATTGATCTTCACGCTGATCCTGTTTGTCATATTCGGACTGGCAAGAAAGTTGCTACATGCTTCTCTGGGGAGAGTAATCTTGAGGTCGAAATACAAAAACCTGGATCAGCAAATGTGAGCTCTCAGAATGGCTATCATTCATGGTTAAACAATGCACGTAACTTGCAGGCCAATTTTGTCAACAAGCTAGTTGCTGGTAACTCAGACGTTTTAGCCAGACAAAGATGCACAACTTCACAAATCCTTAGTCGGCGCAGAATAGGTCCGTCGGATGTGCGTTTGGCCCATGAGTTCACCCCTCCTCCCGCAAGTTCCTCACGTTGGTGTGATTCTACTCTATTTCGTAAATCTACTATTCCTCCAGTCAGCGTTTCCCCTGTCGAACGTTCCAAAAATGCTGTTTGTCTTCCAAACGGGTCTACAAATAGGACTCTCGATATCGTTTATCCACGAAGACGTTCCACAGGATTTGAGGAAAGTCCAAGTGAGCCTTCATTAGATACTAAGTATATGCTTTTCTGTATAATTATCAACAAAAACCTTATACCAATGCATAAGCTGTCATTTTGGTAGTATCACTGTGAATGTGATGCACAAGCCACCGGCCAGGGCCAACGCCATGTTTTCTGCTTCCGTATCTTCACCGACGAAAGCTTCTGGCATATGTTCATTTAAGTTTATTCGTCACTATGACAGGTTACTGCAGTTTGACATGGCCCATTCCGCATCCACTAAGCTCTCTTTTGCATTTTCTTCGTTACATGAACAGAATCGTATTCCTAAGTTCATACATGACCTCACCGTCTTTTCACTTCTCGTCCTCCACTTAACTAGCACGCCAGCTCGTAGCCTAAAGGATCGCAAGCCTGAAATGTTCCAGGCTGCATAGGGACCGGACGACCCTCGTAGTATCCCTAGCCCACGTGCGACCAGTGGTGGTTTCGCGGCGGCGAAGCGTCCATACTGCGTACCAGCGTACTGCTGATGCCTGCCTTGGTTGGCACACTTATTATTTTTGTCCACAATAAGTAGGCTTGTCCGTAAGACAAGTGCAATACTGCCCGTCCCTGAAGCGCATCCATCTTCCACAGCTGTTTTCGCCTTGTATTCTAAATGGGATTGATGATCTTGTTACATCGCTGCTAGGTGCCGCCACTTTGACGCATTGAATGGCTTTACCTGTGTTCTTCATATGTGCTCAGCATTGTCCATTTGCCTAATTCTGGACAGGTGCTCCTGGGCGACCGATCCTCTCTTGGTAAGTTTTTCACATTCTTAAGGCATGTGCTTCATTGGAAAAAGCACTGAATTTTCATATTGTTGTTTCCACGCGTCTGGAAATAACTTGGGACACCTGTTAGCCATTCTTCTGAGCTCTTCAGAAGCTCAGCTGGGTGGTAATTATGGACTTAACTCCGAACGGACTGACAACGGTGAGCGTCTGCTGTAACTGTGTGCGGAGCACCAGTTGTTTCTTACTAGCACTGCTTTTAGACACAGTGGGCGCCGAAGTGCCACTTGGCGTCCACCTGTAGCTGACCAGCGATGGACCCAAATTGACCACATAGCCATAAGTTACAGATGGCGCGGTTCCATTCTGGATTGCCGCTCGTACTGGAGTACCTGTGTCGACTCTGATCATGCCTTGGTGCGCTGTCGTTTCTCCATGAACTTTACCGGAAGGCGCACAAAGCGTCTCCTCCGATTGACAACGGAGAAATTGTTTTAGTCCTCGGTCAGGCAAGCTTATCAAGACACACTGCATACCGAACTCTCGCTGTCTTGTCCTAATGACACTGAACTTAAGTGGAATAAGATCTCGGCTGCCATGCATGACGCAGGAGCATCTGCTTGTGGCACTATCCATCGTCACCGCACTAGTCACTGGATATCCGAGAGGTCGGTGAACCTGTTGGAAGCTAGAAGACACCTCCCGGCTGGTTCTGAACACAATGTGACCAGACGGGCTATTAGGCGTGAACTAAAGCGGAGCCTACGTGCTGACAAGGAAGCCTGGTGGACCAGTAGGGCTCAAGAAATGGAGGAGGCAGGAGCAGTAAGCAATTACCGCAAGCTCTCCCAGATAATATGCACCACTGGTCCCAGAAAATCAGGCGTCAGTGAGACAATCAGAGACAGTGCGGGTGCGCTGATACACAATAAGGAGCGCCGTATGGCTCGTTGGGCGGAACACTTTCAAGATCAGTTCAGCTGGCCCCCTGCTCCCGGACGTCTTCCTACTCAGGTGATGCAGGACGAGCCATGGACGGTTAGTTTAGAGCCTCCGTCGGAGGTCGAGGTCCGAAACGCGATCACAGCCATCAATCGTTTTCGTGCCGCTGGCCCGGATTCCCTCCCACCTGCACTATTTAAGGAGGGAGGTGAGGTCCTCTGCAGGGCACTGACCTCCCTATTCGAACGTATCTGGAACGAAGAGAGTGTGCCGGCTAATTGGAGCGAATCGATTATAGTGGCAATATACAAAAAGGGCAGTCGCACAGACTGTTCTAACCACAGGGTTATTAGCCTAACGCCAGTTGTGACAAAATTACTGGCCTCGATTATCGTTCGTCGCCTCACTGCAGAACGGGAATCTCGGATTAGGGAAGAGCAGGCCGGTTTTCGCCCAGGGCGTGGCTGTATAGACCATATATTTACTTTGCGGCAGGTGCTAGAGCAGCGCCACGCATACCGCAGACCGACAATAGCTGTGTTCCTCGATTTCAAGAGTGCGTCCGATTCAGTCGATCGATCGATTCTGTTCGAATTACTTGCGCGAAAAGGTGTTTCCACGAAATATGTGAACATCCTTCGTGCTCTATACTCGAACACTACAGGCCGGGTCAGGGTCTATGGTGTCTTATCGGATAGCTTTTCGACTACAAGTGGCGTTCGTCAGGGTTGTCCGATTTCCCCATTTTTGTTCAATTTCGTCGTGGATTCTATCATGGAGTGTTCCCTGACGGAATCCAACGATGTAGGCGTTGAAGTGCTGCCTGGTGGAAGGTTAGTTGACCTAGATTATGCGGACGATATCGTCTTGCTTTTCGACGATTTTGCGGCGGCACAATCAACCCTGAATAGCCTGTCCAGAGTGGTCCCATTATTTGGTATGCACTTCGCACCTCCAAAGTGCAAAGTGTTGCTGCAGGACCACCAGCCACTTGATGACCCCTTGACGCTTGCTAACGAGGAACTCGAGGTGGTTGATCATTTCACTTATCTTGGCAGCTTCATCAGCAATGATGGGCGCATAGAAACTGACGTGAGCTCACGCATTGCAAAGGCCAGAGCTGCCTACTTGAACCTGCGGCATCTTTGGCGACAGAAGGGAGTTTCCCTCCGTCTGAAAGGCCGTGTATACAAGGCCACAGTGAGGGCCGTTCTGCTCTATGGTAGTGAAACTTGGCCCCTTCGGTCTGAAGATCTGAGGCGCCTTCAAGTCTTTGATCATCGTTGTTTGCGAAGCATTGCTGGTGTCGGATGGCACCAGCGTGTCCGCAACGATGATGTGCGTAGGCGAGTACTAGGTAGTGATAATCATGCTAGCATCCTAGAACAACAGATATCACTGAATAAGTTGCGTTGGCTCGGGCACGTGCTACGCATACCTGGTCACCGCTTACCTAGGAGGGCCTTGTTCAGTCTACCAGGTGTAGGATGGCGCAAGGCTCGAGGTGGACAGAAGTTGACTTGGCAGCGGGAAATGAAGTCACTGACAGCCAAACTGGGTGCCGTTGGTCCGTCTCGCCTTCCAGGTTGGAGTCCACGTGACTCACCTTGTGCTTGGCTCGAGACTTTGCAGGACATGGCTCTCAACCGACACCAGTGGCGCGTCTGCTGCCGTCTTCTAATCGGATTGCCTGTTTAAAGTATGTTTGGTGCTGAGTTATCTGCGGGATAATGGCTGATTATGACGCGTGGCAGTGAAAGCCGCAAGGAAGCTGTCTCGCCGATGCCGCCTTATCTTTGCACGATAACCAGCTGTTTGTGACGGTATGTTGTCTACACAAGGTGTAGGCGCCTTGATCCTGAATGTTTGCTTAGGGCAATAAGGTTTTCAGGTAAGTCCCGCTTCTCTCCCTCTTCGTATTCCTTATTTCATAGGTCCTCATGGTTGTATGGCAGCGAAGCATCAGTTCAAATGGCTGATGTACTGCTGTTGATGATGATGATGATGTTAGCCATTACTCTGGGTCACTGCATCAAAGTTCACTATTGTTGTGCGTCCGCCCTGTCACAGCCATAACTCCGTCACAACATCTGCTTCATTCGGGAGCGAAGGCTTACTAATAGGCCGTTATCCTTGTCTTTCTTTTTCACTTTATCCTGGACTCATCTTGTCCCTCATTAATGTCCTCTTCGTCTCCACCTCAAGGTAAACATCTACTGTGCTACTGTAGTCCATTCACATTCATACGTACAGTTACAGTCCTCAAAAATGGGGCCACATCAATACATCAGAGTTGCTTTTTGGGCTACTTAGATTCAGTAAGAAGCTGACGTAATAAGTCTCGCTATCGACGAGATCCTGCACAGGCCAAGGCTCCTTAATCTAGACAACTGACTTCCCATTCTCGTTGCTGATGTGGTGGTTCACTAGTGGCTAGCTTGTCTTTGCTTGATATTATTTAGTTTAAAGAATAGACGCACTCCAACTGTCATGCTCATCTTTGAAAAGAAGCCAAAGACGCCTTACTACGATTATTGTGAGACAAATGCGATCCTAGTTATCTCTGAACGGCTGACGTGCAACGCTATTCTTACCGCGTATTGCGGCACATTAGTTAAGGTGTTTCTCAACTTCAGCCCATGTGTATTGAGGATAATGATGAGCGGGAAACGAATAAGTGAAAATCAAACTTGTTTCTGTCCAGGATAGATTTTTTCTTTACTACTGTTGTTTAAACATCCCATTTCTTACAGGCACCGTGTCGTGGTAGCTTTTATTTGCTTGAGGGCCGCTTTCGAAACAAGAAAGACTACCATGACACGCGGCTGCTATTTATGAGCTGCTGAATGGGCTAACGAGTGGCGCTGCTGTGCATTTCCACGGAGAAAAAGCATGGGGGATTAGGCCGACTCAACTTCGGTTCTCACTATCACCGAACAGCTGCTGAAGATGTCTGCCGGTCTCTTTGCCTAGAGGAAACGAGCTTGTCTCGTGATCTTGCGGCGCGGGTTCGAGCCTGCATAGGGGCAGAGCGACTCTCGCAGCCCACATGCGACCGGTGGTGGTTGCGCGGCAGCAAAGCCTCGGTATTGCGCACCGGCGTACTGCTGATGCATTTGCCTAGGTGAGTTGGTCATGTAGCCGAAGGCGTCAGTGCATGTATTTCTAAGGCTCGTATGGCTTTTCAAAGCATCAGCCACTCATAGCGAAGGGGATTTGCTCTCAATTCAACGGAGAGTACGACTGCTATGCTGCGAGTGTCAGTGCGTGGCACAGAGACCTGGTTGCTGTGCGCTGAGGGTGCTAGGAAA